ATATCTGTAGTACCTGTTACGACAACGACCCTTCGTGCCTTAATCAATGCAATCAGCTGGTCATCAGCTCAGGTAACGCGGCCATGTGGCAGTGCTATCGATATATACGACCATAAATAACGAGTCACTGGCGATTTCAAGTACTATCCAAATTATTTGTAAATTGACCCCTGCCTGTTAGGCTGTCATCTTGTGTACCTGCAATTATGGTTATGAAATCTATATCACTATCATTCATACAAAAAATACGCTATTCATTTAATATACTTAGTATTTGATTTTTTTATCTTTATATTTTACAGGTTCGTCATTCCCAGCGAATGAATGAGACACCTCTTCACCCATGGATCGTATCCGAGTTGGACGGTTCCATCCTAGCTGCACATTGCAACTGCATGGCCGGATTAGGCGAGGCATGCAGTCACGTTGGAGCTCTACTTTTCTGGGTAGATGCAGCAGTTAGGGTTCGAAATTCTAAAACTGTTACACAGGAGCCTGCATACTGGCTATTACCCACTGGTATTCAGAAGGTTGGTTACAACGCTGTTGAGGATATAGACTTCGCATCCGCTAAAGCGAAAAAGAGAAAGTTGGATGAGAGCCTAACGGGAAAATCACCACTTACGCCAAAAGTCAGCTTCACAGTGACATGTCAATTCCCATATCATCTAAATTTCATTTACCATATATATCATAACATTCTCAAAAACATGATTTATCAATTATTCAATTTATTGTCACAGAATTTTCTATGACATAATGAGTACCTAATGATTATATGTAGAAGTGCAGAAGAAAATGTTGTTGACTTGTATGTATATTGTAAATAAGTTTACATTGTTCTATTGCTATATATAATAAATTATGAACCTGATCTCATCTTTTTAGTTTTAAATGCATATATTAAAAAAAGTACCCCGGTAAACAATTATATTATGAATTTATGAGATAATCAAATTCAGCAATTAAAAAAGAAATGAGTCAAGTAAAATTTATTATGCACACTAAATACAAATTGAAATTACAATTACAATCACAATTACAATTAAAAGCACACTAAATACAATTGAACTGAGGCATACTAAACTGCCTAACAACTACATGTATTGAAACTTAGTATTTGATATTGCATTATTAAAACACGTACAAAAAGCAAAGAAACATATATATATATTCAAATTGCAAAGTTTAATTAGCTGACATGATAATTTATTTAATTAGCATTGGCACTTTAAATTTGCAAAATATACACAATACATTACATGTACATAGCACAACTAGGTACATCTTTTCTGCGCGCGGTATTGCATCAACATTAGATTAACATACAACAATTTTACACTAGTCTACCAGTAATGATAGGTAAGTACTGGCATGGGTAGTCAGTTCAATGGCACAACAGATTCACACCAATTTGTCAATGCACAGCACACAGTGACAATTTGAACATGGATCACAATCAGGAAAGTCCTCGAAGCTGTTGACTGTGAAATGTTAAAAACATAGG